CCAATTCCTCCCCAGTATCCCATCTATCCCTGCCCTCTGGCAGTGGGAAGCCATTCCCTGTGTCCTGTCTCTCCATCCCTTATCCCAAGTCTCTTTGCAGCTCTCTTGGAGCCCCTTTAGGCACTGGAAGGGGCTAAACACCCCCAGCTCAGCCTGTGACAGGTCAGTGCCAGTCTGCAGCAGGATCTGACTGTCCCCCACTTTGGGCTGTCCTGGCATCCCCCTGGCACAGCCCTGGAGGCACATACCCACTGGAGGAGGTGCTGGGCAGCGTCCTCCTCATGCCGGTGCTGGAGGGGTTCAGGTCATAGGCCAGGTGGCCCTGCAGCTCCCCCAGGGAGAAGTTTGGCCCCGTGCCCGTCACCACCGGCGCTGCAGGGAGAGAGGGGGTCAGGAGGGGCCAGCATGGAGGGGATCCCCAGCCCACCGAGGGGTGGGGGGAGTTGTGGGGACACTGCTGTGCTCAGGTAGCCAGGGGGGTGGGCTGTGGCACTCACTTCGGGACACCTGGATGAGCTCGGTGACGCTGAACACCCCCGAGGTGACGAAGCTTTCCTGGAAGTCTGTGGAATCTGTGTGGGAGAGAGGAGGGAGGGCTGGGGGAGGGGTGACAGGACCACCTCTCCCATTCTGCACTGCCTCGTGGTGATGCTTCAGGGCACCCCAAATCCCCATCTGTCCCCTCCTCATCTTTCGCTCCCTGCTCCAGCAAGGGACCACCCTGACAGGTCCCCTCCCCTGAGGACACCCTGGAGCTGTTCGATGCCTCAGTTTTCCTGTGGCTGAGAGTGCTGGCAGGGCTGGGGGCTGCACCCCCACCATGGGACTCCCATGGCACTGCTGTCCCCAAGGGACGTGGCCCCAGCAGGACCATGCCCAGCTCATTGCAGATGCCAGGCAGTGGCTGGCTGGGGCTGGGGGTCACCAGACCCCCCCACAGGGAGCACAACTGCCTGTTAAGGGACCCTGGGGATGGGCTGGGGTCTGCCTTGAACCCTTGCCCAAGCCCTGCCTGTGCCACTCACCCAGAGTGATGGGTTTGCTGTCCTCCTGGTCCGAGCCGATGCCTGTCCGGGGGCTGCTGCTCTGCTCTGCGTCTGCAAGACGAAAACCCACCAGGGTGAGCCTTCCACATTACTGTGTGCCCCCCATGCTGGTGTGAGCCAGGGCCCTCACAATCTGACTACCCCCTCACCTCTCTGCTGGGGGGAAACGGAGGCACAGGCTGCCCAGAGGCTCTCACCATGCAGGAGAGCCACCGCCGAGCTGGCACGTACCCAGGGAACAGCCACCAAGAGGCACCACCTCGGCCTCCCTGCCACTGCCAGGGCAGGGACAGCCCCACATTGGCATGCAGGATCTGGGTGGTGATTCCCACAGGAGGGAAACCTGCAGAGCTCAGCCTGCCCCGAGGCTGGTAGTGGCCATCCAGCTCTGCTCCTGCCTCGCTCCCTCCTCTCCTCCCTCTGGGCAGTGTCACTACGGCATGGCATGGCATCACCCGGGGCCCCTCGTCCTGCCTCTGCCAAGCCTCCTGGAGGGCAGCAGGGCTACGAGGCAGCACCTGCTCTGACCCCCAGAGCCCTGGTCGGCCCTGCTCCATCTTGTCTAAAAATAACCCTGCTCAGACGCTGAGCTCAGCAGCCCTGGCACACCCTGGCACGGCACAGCACGGCACACAGGAGCATCCTTCCTCACCTGCCTGCTCCCAAAGCCCTTCCCAAACTTCTGCCATGTATTTCCTCCCACTCCTCCATCCTCCTCCTCGTCCTCCTCCCCCCGCTTTGGCCTTCGGCATTTATCTTTCACAGTCTTGGCAGATGCCAGGAAAGGGCTGAGACAATCCAAAAACACTGTCAAAACCGCATGGCTGCCGCTGCCAACCCACCCGTGCCCCGTGGGATTTCTCCCTTTCTCCCTCTTTTCCTCCCCCTTTTCCT